CGCCGAGTGTCGAGGCGGTTATTTCTGAATCGCTTCGGGGCGCCGTCTCCCCGAGTATCGGACCGTGAGAGCACCCCAAGCGACCGTCCCAGAGCACGCGGCACCAGCTGTTGTGGCGGATCGCGTTGCGGAAGAAAGAAAAACCATGCCCACGCATGGAGTCTGCATGCAGCGCATCCCAACGTGCGTTTGGAATCCAACTTTGTTCAATCGGCAGTGCGGCTGCCCACGGATAGCCTTTGGGCAACCCTCTGTGTGTGTGATGTCCGTTGAACTTCTTTCGCACCGTAACGTAGCCGACCGTGCTAATCGGATGTCGGGGGAAAGATAGCAAACTACACACAAAAAGCAGTTAAAGGGAAATGGGTTTTCAGTTTAGATGTACATGATCAATTTGGCCAATTTTCAAGTCCCTAATAGCAACACAACTGTATACCTCAATTAAATTTACATTGCGTAATATTTACGATAGTTATCATGACCTCCCCCCCCCCTCCTCCCCATTGCGGACAAACGGGCAGACAAACAGCTAATGCACACAAATGCTTTCAAGCTCAGTCTCCTTCTCTCGTGTTGTGTGCTCCAGAGATTATCAATCAATGCTGGGAGCAGCAGTGATAACGTGTCATCAATTGATGCTCACGCTCCTCGTTAGCCATTCACCCTCGGCTGTAAAGCGTGCGTGGGAGCGGTGTTTTCTGCATCGCAGCCTGCGAACAGATAAGCGATGGTCGCGTCCTTATCGCGGACTTTCCGACGCCATCGTCCTTCGCAGCCCACTCGCCGGAACGAGAGAGCGCGGCTGCTCCGTGGCTCGGCTCGGCTCACCGCCCGTGGCCTCAAAATGCCCCCGCAGCACCAACTATGATGTTAGCCGTCACTTCGCCGCCCCAGCGACCACGGCCAGATGTGACCGATCAGGCCGTTGTTTGTTTAGCGAGTTCCTTAATTGCCCCGATTCGCTGGACACAGACATTCAATATTTACGCAAACTCCCCGACCTGGCATTTCATTATGAACCCGCGTTTGCTCGAGATGTCTCCCCGCGTGATTAACATCATAAATACAATCCGTTCCATCTCAGCCGTCTCTGCTTGCCAGGTATGATTGTCAGCAAGAGGTTGGTGGAGTTAGTGAGGTTTGTGGGATTGGTGAGGATGGTGATCACGATGAGATCGATGTTGGTGGTGATTTTGGAGTGATGAGATGGAACGCTGTTGCTTTGTTTAACCGGTTGGTGTGGAGCGGTAGGAGTAATTTATGTTCTTAATTGAATCAGTATTAGAGTGGTTGTGGAGTTCATTGGTTTAGGAACTTTACTTTAACCAGCTTTGGAGTGAAAGTATGAATGTTGTGTCCTTTAACCGGATTTGGGGTGCCACTTTCTGGAATTGCGCAATTTACGTAACCGGTCGTCGAGTGGGATGAGTGTCGTTTGCTCGGCTAAATGGATTCAACATGGCGTTTTTGTTATCGGCCCAGCGCCCTCCAGTTTGATGTCAGCAGTTTAGGGGGTAGGGCACGGGATGTTCCACAAACCTTTAACCTTCTAAAACGAATGTCTTGACGCTTTCCGAGCTAAACAAGTTACAATACTAATTATACTGTTGTCCCCATTTAGTGAAAGCTTCAGAGAGTCTCACGACATGTTTTTTACGAGGTTCCTGCTACACGGGGATGTTTGTTGAATTCCTCAACATTTCACGTTTTGCTTCTAATGGGAGAACGACCAGCGAGCCGGCAGAAACTCCGCTACCAGGCGCACGAGTGGCATTAACGCTCGGCGGTCCGCACAGACGGGGTCACGAACCCACTTGTTCCTATGATTACTGTTGTTACATTGTTTTTGTAACTTTATTTTGGTAATTCGAAAACATACGGTTAATCTAAATTGTCTTATAGTTGTTGTTGTTGTTGGCTTGTACCACATTGTGATTTTTGCACACAGCGTTTTAATATATTTTTTTGTGTGGAATATTTGCTGGTTGAATTCCAGGATGTTTCTGTTGCGCCTCGTCGCTTTGGGATGTTCTGTATTCATATTTTGTTTGTTGCGGTTGCACCCGACTTAAGAGCCGCATGGCTCACAGGGCTATACCTAACAAATGAAACTTGAAACCACGCCTCTTCTCCGAAGACGTTTCCACTTTACGAGCCACTGAGTTAATTTGCGCAAAATCCCAGTGCAGTTACTCAACAGGATATGAAGCCATAGTTCGTAATTCCCGATGAAGTGAGCAGCCCGAGTTTGTCGTGCAGCGTACAGTAAGATGGCACAGCCTATGAAGAAATCACCCAGATTGTTCCCGCAAGCTAAGCAGGTCTGAGCCTGCATCGTGCTCGGTATTGGTGATCGGAATTGGATAACAGGTGCTATAGGCTACTGCAGGCCGATATTGTGGGCAACAGAATGCGGCGCGGCAAGATCCATTGTTGTCTTGTACTACGCTTCCACATCTATGCTCCCTGCCTTCCCCAACCTGTGATTAAACAACCACCACGACCCCGCATGGCACAGGGAGGGAGGCCCTCATCTAGCAGTGGATGGACAAAAAACGGGGGCTGTGTACTTAGCATTCAAATTTTCTGTTAAATGTTTTGTTGTTGTTTAATCTCAAAATGTATTCACCGAATGTAGCAGGTGTTGCTCGTGACCAAGTTGCCACTATACCACCTGGCCCTCTCTGTCCGTTGTTGTACATACATTCGCTGATTGACGCATTGATGTATCGAGTGGTTATTGGCTGATGCACCACTCTCTGGGCTCGGGGTTAATGCCCATGATGAAAGCAATGGGATGACGAGAGCATTCGAAGCGCCACAGTAAATGCGAGACCAAGAGAGACACGGTCCCTGGCAGATTGCCTATCGCCATCACTTATTGTAAGAGCATCATCTCAGCCGGAAGAGTCCAAAACACTGCTCTGGGAATGATTTTGGCAAACTCAACTTACTTAGTTTTTCTATATATAAACGATATTAACCTGTGCATGTGATTACAGGAATATAGGTTGCATTCGTATAGAACAATTATGGAGAGATGGAGAGGCACGTATGCATGTTGAACTACCAATAACAAGGTGCAGCTTATTAGTGGTGGTAACTTCCCCACACCGTGCAGGTCACAGGAGGTAATTGACCACACTTGACTGCGCTCATCAATGCGGGATCGGTGAAGGAGGGAGCATATATTTGGGTGAATAGTAAAGCACAACAATAGATTTACACCATTGGAAACCTCATTTGCCAGTAACAAAATATGATAATTGGTTTTTTTCCCCTCTTATTTGGCAACAAAACTGACACCTTTTTTACAAGGAGTCACGTTTACATTGACCACAATACCTGCGGTCGGAACGCAAACAAAAAACAACTCTGATAATGTATGTGGCACTGTCCTTGAAATTGATTGGGCCACACCCGAGACAGCTTTCTTTAGAGCCTCGTCTCACATGGTGTTGGACCAGAAGACGCCAAAAGGCGCACAATTCAAAGACAATGCACCATCAGAGTATGAGAGCTCGGGGTAAGCATTTACACCATTGGAAACCTCATTTGCCAGTAACAAAATATGATAATTGGTTTTTTACCCTTTTATCTGGCAACCGCAGGTATTGTGGTCAATGTAAACATGACTCCTTGTAAAAAGGTGTCAGTTTTGTTGCCAGAAAAAAGGGTAAAAAAACAATTATCAACAATAGATTTGTATGCACTGCCCTCTGCTGTACACAGTACAGGATACACTGCATGTAACATGCCTTGATGACAACACACACATATACAACCCATGAAATTTATATTTTCTATATTTAAAAAAAACATATGATTATTATCTCTTTGATAATCCACTTCTGGATTAATACATCCATACTTCACCACGCTAGCCACTCCGGGCTTTTTGTGGATGGGGAGGCTCAGCAGCACAAGTTCAGATATCGCTCGCCACTGATGTTAGCCGTGTCCTGGAATCGAACTCAGATGGCGGGGGTTAACGGCGCAGTTCCCTAACCACTGCGCCACCACTCCACCGCCCGTTCCCTTTGCAAGACAGCATTGCCTTGAAATTGTCTCTGCGTAGCGCTGAACGCAGCATGCACACGGCATACCAAGCAGCACACACGCGCAAACTCACCATCGCGCGACATCACGAAAGGTCAGGGTACGACCCTGCAACTGCTTGCACAAGGAACTGTTGGCGGAAGACGGCGTCAGCGAGCCCCTAGCGGCTCGAGGAACCCCCACGATAGCCAGCATTCGGCACGACGCTTTCCCGCTCCGGTCAGACAACTCGGGAGAGGTGGGAGTCCCCACACTTTACCCAACCACACGTGTCCTGCCAATAGTGCGCCTACGGGCAACCGACTGCTGGACAGACAGACGCGGAGGCGGGGGGAGGGGGAAATGTTTCAACTGCCGCGCCCGGAGATCAAATCGAACAGGCGACGTCTGGAATGCAAATCCAATGTTTTTACCGCATCACCACAGTGGCAGCAGCATTGCATTTTAAATCACACATCCCCTTCGCTGCCACACACGGGGCCTGGCAGTGCCAAAGTGAGCGTGTGGCCGCCGGGGACTCGTTGGCTATCTCGTCCGCCTTTATTCGCGTTTTAAGTTATCTTCGAGAGCCCGGGGGGGCGGGGGCTGGGGGGGGGTCTTGGAAATTCCAACGCGCGCTCGCGCTCTCAGTCGCGTTGCACGGCATCACTGGGATTGTGAGAACTAACGCAAACACTTGTTGCATACTGAGAGGGGAGAGAGCGAGAGGGATCTTGAGAGACGGAGGGGGAGGGAGCGAGAGAGCCAGCCGGAGAAAAAACGGGCAGAGTGCATTGCAATTCCACCACGCATCCCAACTATCCATCCACCCACCCAATCATCCACCCACCCACTCACCCATCTACCCCCCCTCCCATCCATTCATCCACCCACCAATTTACCCCACTACCCACCAATCCACCACCCACCCACCACGAAAATGACAATGGGTGCAATCACACCTGCGGACCTGTACAGCAATCGTGGGACGTGGGGCTGTCTGCTGCCGCTGCTGCCTGGCCTTGGGTTGTCTCCACTGCCCGGGTGTCACTTAGAGCAAGAAGAAGCAGAAGGGAAAAAAACCCAAAACGAGAGGCAGACTACGGCGGCTTGCTGCTGCTCGTTACTACCCTGACAACCTTGGCCTGGAGGCACTCTGTCACGCTCTGAGCGGAGCTTGGTTTGCTCAGCCTGTTAGTTGTGGGGAGGGCGGGGGGGGAGGCTGGTGGAGAGAGGAGGGCCGGGTTGGGGCTGGTGTGTCATGGCCAGCATGGACAACAGGGGAGGGGGGTGGGATTGGGTTGGGCATGTGGGGTGGCGTTGTGGCTGGCTGGGGAGTGGCAACGTTAATGGCGCTGCCGGTCGCTTAGCAATACCGCAACGGGATTCTCTCCACAGGGCCTGTGACGTCATGGAAAAAAAAAATCGGCATGAAGATGAAAAAACAAAGTCCAAGGGGCAGACAGGAATTCCTTCTTCAAGGCCTCAGAGATCCCAGAGCTTCATTTCCACGGTTGGCGGCGGGGTTTTTTTTTTAGTGATGGAAAAACAACAGGTCGCTGAGGCTCCGACAGAGAAAAAAACATACAGTGTGAAGAAAGTGCTTGCTTGCCGGTGGCATTTATTTTTTAATATAGTCTGCGCCCATTTTTTTGTGTTCCACAAAGAATGGCCTGTTGAGATATTTTAAGGGGTTTGAAAAATCCCACGAGTTTTATGCGCTGGTATGCGCGCGCGATCCCCAGGACCCACACACACTCGACATTGTGAAGGATCTTATAATAATGTGGAGGCGTGTTGTTCAAATATAAGTGCGGTGGTGCGATCCGAATGTCCCCCGAATAGTAATAATAATGCTGACATTGGTGAACCACTTATTTATTTATTCGGCGATGCCGCTGCAATGGCACAATCACAAAAAAAACACTCAGCACATTCGCCAGTATTGATTCACGCACTCTGAAAATGGGTCGTTGCCCGAAACGTCACCTGTTATATAACTTTCCTTTAAAGCAGTGTCATTGACGAAAGTAATTTAAAAAATTGACATTCATAATGTATGTTGGAAACTCAGCAAAGTAGCATATCCATCATAGAGGTTGTTTTGGGTTCGATCGCGTAAATATATAAATGTGTTAAGTTTTGATTTAAAGCTTTCGTGACTGCAGTAATTCATATTCTTAGTTATTTCGGTAAAGTCACGTTGAAGGGAAACAATTAAATAACAAAATATATATAAAACAATAAAAATTCTCACGACGTTTCGACCATAACACAAACGGTCGTCTTCAGGTGTGTCGGTTTGCATAAATGTATTTATTTTTAAACGGTGGATTTTATTTATTTATAAAAGACGTTAGCGCCACGCGCAGCGATTTGGCAGTTTATTTAGTCACAACATTAACAAACTGAGTACGACATTTCGCCAGTAATTACAATTAGCTTAGCTCTCCAACACACCGGTGTGCTGTACTGATGACGAATTGGCACGTTCTGTTGACGCGACAACCATTACTAGTTGGCTGTGTCGGGTGGTGGCAGGTTTTAACGATATATTTATATACTGACGCGATCTAACCCAAAACAACCTTTATTATGGATGATATTGGTCGCGAAAGCTTCCTACGTGATAAACAGAGTCGCTCTTAATTAACAGTCACATAAACAGGGCAAAACGTTGGCGTCACAGTTGTCGGTGCATTGCGCGATGAACCCGGTGACCATAATTCAACTACCAGCCGTGGAAAATATCAGCGAGCTGTTAACCAGTCCATGGTCTCCCTCCACAAACCTGCACTGACCAGGGTGGTGAAGTATGGTCAAACAACCGCGAACACCGAGACGGCCTGTGGAGGCCTTCATCCAGTGGTAGATTGACAAAGTGCTCTAAATCACTTTACTTATTAACTGTTATATATAAACACAAAGCAATATACAATAAGGCGATCACACCCTCACAATCACTGAAATAGGTTTACGTATTACTCAAGGGTAATACAAGTTTAAAATGTGTCTCGCGCATTAAAAAGCCAACACACACATCCCGTTTTTACGAGACACTATGAACCCGTTCAGCCAACATATTTATTGACCAAAATATTGAAGAATAATTAATATGCCCCCTTGAGGTGGGTTAAACATTTTATTTTTACATTTGAGAAATAAATCGTAATTAAGACTGGTGCTCGACAAACAGTTTAATTCAAAACCGCTGAACCAAAAACCCTGCTGGATTTCCTTCTTGTAAAATGCTGGTGTCTACAGTTTTCAAGAATAACAGTTTTTTTTTTGGTAATATAAATATCTAACAACGCCAGGCCCATCCGTGCAAAGCGGCACAAATAAAGTAATTACATCGCCGATGAAACGCAGTGTTAGCAGCACGGAGCAAGCAGCACAGATGTCGTGGTCTCGTCCGGACGGAGGGGGGGGGAAGGGAATCATTGTCGGAGTCGAGGCTCGCGTGATGATCCGTGCGCGCTGCACTTCGTAGGCGCCTGCGTGCGCCGACAACCGAGCTCATCGGAGGTGCGGGACTCGCAGGAAAATTAACAAAAAAATCTGCTTCGAAGCAATGCGATTAGTAGAACCGCACGAATGCCGTCTTACAATCTTTAATTATCCCCCATTCCCCTCCCAGGATTAACTAGCAGTTGCGCGGAGAAGTAATTAGCGCAGACAAAGCCTGGCAACCGCGTGCAGTGTCAATACGGAGCGTAATGAGCGGTGCAGATGGCTGGAGTACTGCATAGTCAGCGATCCGTGCAAGATCTTCTGAATCGTTGATGTAATCTGTTAATACCCACTTGTTTAATTGTGTACGGGGCGATCCGTGTATAGACACCCCGCTAAAAGAATAGGACAAGAACGCACAGGGAAAACAAGATTTGATTTCATAGCCGCTACGTATAAAAGATGCGACGTTCGCTCAACGTTGGTCCAACGATTCCAACCACATGCCAACGTCTCCCATCAATCTCAATACATACACATGTTAACTCTTTGAATATTCTATTGTAAGATAAGGAACCCTCTCTTTCACATACTCAATCAGCTGTTCAGAAGACAGAGGCCTTGTGGAATCTGTGGGGTATCTATAAATTGATCACCCTGTGTTTTCCCTTTTAAGAGTATGACTGTTGTGGCTAGATTTGGGCATTATCAGTCAAGTAACAATTCCTTGATCACAAATATATTCTTATGATCACACTAAATGCTAAAATCATGCTGCTAATAACCAATTATATTCTATTCATATCAATAGAGAAATAAATACTCTTAGTTAATCCACTGCTGGATGAAAGCCTCCCCTTGCTGTATCGGTCACGGGGGTAGTTTGACCATACTTCACCACGCTGATCAGTGCTGGTTGGTGAAGGGGGGGGGGGCAGATTGCCTAGAACTGGTTCGAGTATCACTGGTCACTGATGTTAGCCGTAGACAGGAAAATTAAATCAATTCGCCGGGTTCATAGTGCAGTGTGCCAACCACTGCACCACCAAATCCTCGTACTTTTCTCATTACAAACGATAGTTGGTCAAAGTTCCTTTCATTGCGTCGATGCGTGCCACTACAAGGCATCTGTACTTCACGGGCGCATTCCAAATGCAAAGTTATTGTAGCTGTTGTCCATGCCCCGAAAGAGCTGAAATGAATCCAATTGTAACCCTGATCGATGAGATTGTATCGAATCATGGAGGAGAGAAAATCGTGATCAACCTCGCTCAGACACAAAGCTGCTTCAACACGCAACGGTCCCCAGGACTCACTAACACGTGCCACCAGCGTCAACTTATTTAAGCGTGTAATTAAAACACACTCGCGCGAAATTTACAACTGCTCCAGCTACAGGGTACATGCTATACGAACCAGTGGCGTGCGCCGCTTAATGACTCGTGTTATTATTTACGCGTTTAACTGGGTGCAACATGCAATGAATAATTTGCACGCCGTAAAAAAAATGTCTTTATGATAAAACTGTTTGTTTACAAGTCATTACGTGCTCGCTACGCGCGTGTGGCAATCGACACCCCGCGCATCCTTGCAAATGAGACGTTCTCCGTCGTCTCGGGAGGGGAGGGGGGGGAGGATTTTCCCCCAAGCGAAGAAATATTTGCGATGCAGTGGAATGAATTTGAATGAAAATCGTCAGTGCCGGTGGTGAACCTGCATTGGAGAGCTATGACTTTGCGCTGCCAAGAGGAGGGGAGGTTGGGGAGAGGTGGTAGCTTTTGCTGGCCCCCGAAGCAAATTCTCTCAAGGAACCGAGTCCCCTCCCAAGAGACGGGACCCTTCCTCCCTGGACGCCTTTGTCTCTCTGGCCACACTTACCCCCTTTGATTCGGGAAAACGATAGCGGGACCGCGCCAAGTGAAATATATCTTTGGTTTCAACAAACATTCCACAAAGGAAAGGTCAGCCTCTGTTTTGCGTGAGAGAAATTACTTTAATCTTCACGCAATTATCCATGTAGTTGTGCGGTCTTGAATCAAGGCAAAAGAAAACTATAATGTCAGGCCTACCACAATTACCACCGAGCGTCACATTGGAGCGCTGCGCGACGGAGATTGACTTACTGCCTTGCTGCTGTTCTCCCTTCAACAAGACTCTGCTTGAGAGCACAACTAATAATACATCACGACATCTATTAACGAGCACAATATTTCACAGACGTAAGTGACCGTGACTCTGAGGTGCGCAGCCACATTTAAGAGTCGCTCAAAAAAGCCGGGCGAAGGAGGTGTGGAGGGGTTTTTTTGTATTGAAAGAGGTTTGGGCCCGTAACTGTCCCTTTGACGCTGCTGTCGATTGAATGCTGTGCAACTACAGTGGCATGGCGTTCCAGAGTTATCAATTGCGGACTTAAAACAATTACGGGAAGCTTTTACGCGTAAGATGGGTATTATTACGCGAAAGAAGTTCAACATATATTCATCCGCTATAATTAACGTATTTAAAAGCATGTATATACTTGTGCAATTATCATCCCACACGAACCCTGGGCCCTCGAGTTATCAAGAAGGCTGGGGAAAACACTCCACGCTCTGATTGAGCATGAGGATTGGCCGGAACATTCAAAATGGGAAATAGCTGGGGGGTTGGGAGAGCGTCAGGTGGGACGGTTAGGCCAGGTGAGGGTGAGAGATGATGATGATTGGTGGAGACGGAGTGCGACGAGGTGCGGAGCCAGGAAGAGGTGA